AGCCCTCAGGAGGTCCTGAGACCATGTGACCAAGGTGGTCTGGGTGCAGCTTGGTTTTAGGGAGGCATGAGATGCCAATCAAATACATTGAAGAAATATATTGGTTTGGTTCAGAAAGGCAGGACAATTCAAGCAGGGACTTCCAGGCTATAGGTCAATTTAAACACTTTCTGGTTGACGGTTGAGTTTATCTCAAGACCTGAGATCAATGGAAAGAAAGTGTTCAGGTTAAGATAAAGGACTGTGTGTAAGGCTGCTTGCCTCACCGGGAGGCCGGACACACCCAACTCTGCACTCAGCACCTGACTCTGCACTCGGCACCAGGCTCTGCTGCATGGCTCCTCTGGAAGGCTCCGCGGCTAGTGCAACCCTGGCCAGCTCTCGCACCGGAAAAACCTGCCCAACAACCCACCAACCAATAGCAGCCCGCCCCGTCTCAATCCCGCTCCCCTGGACCCAATTGGAGCACCCAGCTGTTGCTCCTTCCTCCTAGCCATAAAAACCCCGCCCCAGGAAGTCTGAGAGACTTCTCTGGCCCCCTTTCCCCAGACCACAGAACTTCGCTGGGGAGCTGAATAAATTGGCATTTAATTTTCTTATACTGGCCTCAGTTTCCTCATTTTAAACTCGGCAATAACCCTTACTACAGGTAGATTTAAACATTTTCTGGTTGACAATTTGTTGAGTTTATCTAAGACCTGGGATGAATAGAAAGGAAAGGTCTGGGTTAAGATGAAAGATTATGGAGACCAAAGTTCTGATTTGCAGAGGAGGCCTTCAGCTAGTGGGCTTCAGAGAGAATAGGCTCTACAATGTTTCTTATCAGACTTAAATCTGTGTTGATGTTAATGCCGGAGAGGTATCATAAGGCATGTTTGACCCTCACTTTCCATCATGGCCTCAACCAGTCTTTCAGCTTAAATTTTAAAAGTGCCCTGGCCAGGAGAAAGTCCATTCAGATGTTTGGGGTGGGGAGAGTGGGGGTGAAGATGGGGGAGGTAGGAGTGGGGGGTGCTTAGAATTTGATTTTTGATTTAGAATTGTTACACACATCTACTTTCATTTATATGGTATTTCATGACTTACAAGTATGCTTTCACAAACCTGTTTTGTTCACCTCACTTTATTTTTACAGTATCTCCCCACCCACGTAACAAGTATTGGTACTCTTAAAAAAAAAAAAATCTCCTGCAATAATAAAACCTATTAATTCATTGATTACTAATTTGGACTTAGTTTGCTTTCCTTCTAACAACCAGCTGAGACGAGCTACTCTGAAAGCGTGAGATTTAAAATTTGGGAAAAGCAATATTGTAACAGAGAGTCTTTTGGGAAGGGGGTCCATACCCCAAAATAGAAGTGACAGGGTAGAGACCCATGAGAGGACCAAAGGTCAAAGAAAAGATGCTCTAAATGGGAGGGAAGGAGGCAGAAGGGATGTCCATGTGTAACTGAAGACAAATCTTACCTATTCTGAAGTTTTGCACTGTAGTCTGTCGGAAATACATTTTCCCTGTATTACTTGAGTGTTCCTGCAAAACCTCAGCCTCTTGAACCACAGATATTGATGTACATGAAAACGAGAATGCTTGCTTTCATTTCCCCCATAAATACTGGTTCTCTACAATGTTCATTATGGAGCCATTGGCTTCCACTTAAAGGATAATAAAACTTCTCTCTCTCTCTCTTTTTTTTTTTTAATGAGGTTTCACCACGATGGCCAGGCTGGTCTTGAACTCCTGACCTCAGGTGATCCACCCACCTCGGCCTCCCAAAGTGCTAGGAAACTTCTCTTATCTTACCCGGAGTCAGAGCCTTACATTCCAGGATAGGGAACTTCCCTTCCTCCCTAGAAAGACCTCCAAAAGAATGTAGAGGACTATCTCTCCATGAGTTTGTATAACAAAAGTGGAGAAAACCCTCAAAGAGGCTAGTTTTATCTTCCCAGCTGAGAGAGATATTTACATTCCTAAAGGTAAGAATTCACAAAATCCTTTCCCTTTGGTTCCTAAGGAAAATTGGTTTACCTTAGGGAGCAAAGCTTTTTCTCTCTCCTTTGAGGAGAGAGGGGAATGTTTGTCTCTTTCCTATATGAACTCCGAGATCCATATCACAGTTCCTTTCTTAAAGTGCCAACCCTCCATACACATAGCCTCATCTGTCTACCCCTCAGTGTTGCTTGGCTTGAGCACAACTCAGCAAAAAAGAATGCCAGCCTCTAGCAGCCCCTACTCCAGGCTTTTATTTAGTATACCAAAGGGCAAGGGTCTTTGGATAAACACCATTAGAGGGTAATTAACTTCTGCCGACCCCCTGAGTAGAAGGCAGTTCAGAAAAGGTTTTTGCTAGTGGAGGTGGGGGTAAACAGGTTTATCTGGATAAAATTCTTTTACAATTTCTAGTATTTACTCTACTGTCCTAATGCCTTAGGGTAAGAGCCGGTGGCCTTCAACACATTCAGTCATTACAAGCTACGTAAACCTTTGGCCTTCCAAAAAGGCTTGTGACTATTCCCTAAAGCTATCTCTAATATTTTTCCTGTGATATTTTTGGCCACTACCCTGAGTGAACTCCCACACAGGAGGATTGCTTGAGCCCAGGAGTTTGAGGCTGCAGTGAGCCCAGATCACACCACTGCATGTTAGTGTGAGTCACAGAATAAAACCCTGTCTCAAAAAAAAAAAAAAAAAAAAGAGAGAGAGAGAGAGAAAAGAAAGAAAGAAATTGAGGCTCAAGGAGGTTAGGGTGAATTGCTCAAAACCATTCTGCTGTGACCTAAACCTAGAGTGAACATATGTCCTGATTTGTCCAGGATAGCCTCCATTTATGCCTATTGTCTGGTGTCATTTTTGTTTTTTTTTTTTTTTTTGAGATGGAGTTTTGCTCTTGTTGCCCAGGCTGCAGTGCAATGGCGTGATCTCAGCTCACTGCAACCTCTACCTTCCAGTTTCAAGCTATTCTGCTGCCTCAGCCTCCCGAGTAGCTGGGATTACAAGTGCTCACCATCATGCCCAGCTAATTTTTGTGTTTTTAGTAGAGACAGGGTTTCACCATGCTGGCCAGGCTGGTCCTGAACTCCTGACCTTGTAATCTGCCTGCCTCAGCCTCCCAAAATGTTGGGATTACAGGTGTGAGTCACCGTGCCCAGCCTTCCTGGTATAATTATTAATAGCATCTTTTCATTCTCCAGGGTATCCTAGTTGGATAGTAAATTATATTGAGGAAGGAGACCCTTAATCCTCTTAAGCTTCTGAGACTCCTTTCCCCTAGACTCCTACATTGCATTTCAATAGAAGTAAAGGCTGGCAGACGGGGCACCACCCTTAATTACACTCCTGTAGATTGCAAGCATGGCATGTGTAAGGCCGGTTGCCTCGCTGCGAGCTTGGACACGCCCATCCCTCTCTAAGCCTGAAAATTATGTCACCAGAATCCTGCACTCAGCATCAAGCTTTGCCACGGCCACCTCTGCACTCAATACTAAACTCTGCACTAGGTACTTGGAAATCCCCTCTGCACTCAGCACCAGGATCTGCACTGGACACTAAACTGCACTGGGCACCTAGCCAGCCGTTGGAAAACCCCGCCAAAATTTAAAAGAAGCCCCGCCAAAACCTGCCCAATAGCGCATTGCCCCGTCCAGCCAGCTCACTGGAAATCCCGCCTGCCTACCTATAGCAGCTTGCCACCTCCACATCCTGTTTCTCCACAGCCAATCAGAGCACCTTCCCTCCCTATATAACCCCACGCCTGAGAGGAGTCAGGCTCGACTTCTCTGGCCCCCTTTCCCTGGACCATAGAACCTCGCCCAGGAGCCGAATAAATTGGCGTCCGATTGTTCTCATGCAAGCCTCAGTTTCCTCATTTTAGACTTGGCAATAAACCTTATAGAGAATAAACCTTACAGTATGGAGGAATCTTTCTGGAAGGCATTGTTTTTGCTTAAACACGATCAAATCCCCCCCTAGTCATGTACTCCACGCCTACTTCATGAATCAAGACCTTTTCACATGTAATTTCTAGAATCGTAAGCCTTTAAAAGGGCAAGGACTTTCTTTGTTGAGGAGCTCCTGTTAAGGTATTTTCACCTGCCGCAGCCCCTGGCCGAATAAATCACTACCTCCCTGTTCAGTGCTGGAGAGTTTTGTTTGCAGCTGCTTCAATATGGTCACTTTACCAAACAGTTTCTTTCGTTCACTCAAATCCAATCTTATATTTCATTACTGCCTTGTTTCCTCCAGTTATGGCAGCTTCCAGATGATTATAACAACGGAAAAGACTGGCTTCAGACCATGCAATCACTTCTATGAGAAAGGATGTTTCCAATTGCAAATAAACAATTCAACCAGTGACTTTCAAAGTTGCAAACTACCAGTATAGTACAGCAGTGAAGAGATCAGGCTCTGAATCTCTTCACTGTGTGAAGGTGTGTGGTTTTGGGGAAATTAATGTGGAAAAAAAAAAATCAGTCAGTGCACCATTAGTATAGACTTTATTCAAAATGTCAGGCCTGGCCAGGCGCAGTGGCTCACACCTGTAATCCCAGCACTTTGGGAGGCCAAGGCGGGTGGATGATGAGCTCAGGAGATAGAGACCATCCTGGCTAACATGGTGAAACCCCGTCTCTACTAAAAATATAAAAAATTAGTGAGGCGTGGTGGTACACACTTGTAGTCCCAGCTACTCAGAAGGCTGAGGCAGGAGAATCGCTTGAACCCAGGAGGCAGAGGTTGCAATGAGCGGAGATGGTGCCACTGCACTCCAGCTTGGGCGACAGAGGAAGATTCCATGTTTAAAAAAAGAAATGTCAGGCCCGAGAAAGAGCTAAAAAATGGCCTGTCTTGGGGGCGGAAATGGCAAGAATTTTTAACAAACTTTAGCTGGAGCACGAGAAGGGACTGTCAGCCAGAATGCTGCTAGTTTGGAAAAGAGTTGGTCAAAGAGATTCTTGAAAGAGGGTGGAGCCCTTTTTGCTGTAGGCCCAAGTAGTTGCTGCCAAAATGGGCAAGTTCATGAAACCGGAGAAGGTGGTGCTTGTTCTGGCTGGACGCTACTCTGGACTCAAAGCCATCATCGTGAAAAACATTGATGATGGCACCTCAGATCGCCCCTACACCCATGCTCTGGTGGCTGTAATTGACCACAATCCCCGCAAAGTGACAGCTGCCACGGGCAAGAAGAAGATTGCCAAGAGGTCAAAGATCAAGTCTTTTCTGAAAGTTTATAACTATAATCATCTGATGCCTACAGGGTACTCTGTGGATAACCCCTTGGACAGAACTGTCGGCAATAAGGATGGCTTCAGAGATCCTGCTCTTAAACCCAAGGCCTGGCAGGAGGCTGAGGTCAAGTTGAAGAGCTACACCAGATAGGCAAGAACAAGTGGTTCTTCTAGAAGCTGAGCTTTTAGATGCTTTGTTTTGGTCATTAAAAATTAAAAAGAAAAAAAATAAAAGAACGAGGGAGGAATCATTGTTGCAGATGAGCAGCCACTGTTTGAGCAGGTTGGATTTATCAGCCTGGATGGGAGGAATAGTTAGGGGCTAAGATCCTGCACAGGAAGAGGTGGAAGGAAGAACTGCAGGCAAAGGGGACCTGCAGGGGAAAATAGTCCACGTGGGAAAATGCTAGGACTTAAAGGTCCTTTAGATTAGTTGACTCTTCTGCCTCCTTTTCCTCAGCTGTAAAAAGAGGATAACAGTTTATAAGGGTGGTTTCTGAGGATGGAATGTACTGAGTTACACAGGTGTAACTCAGCAAACAGTAGCTCTTATTATTTGAGATGGAGTTTCACTGTCATCAGGCTGGAGTGCAGTGGTGTGATCTTGGCTTACTGCAACCTCCACCTCCTGGGGTTCAAGTGGATTTCCCTGCCTCAGCCTCCCAAGTAGCTCGGGCTACAGGCTTGCAACACCATGCACAGATAATTTTTGTATTTTTAGAAGAGACAGGGCTTCACCACGTTGGCCAGGATGGTCTCGCTCTCTTGACCTTGTGACCCACCCGCCTCAGCCTCCCAAAGTGCTAGGATTACAGGCGTGAGCCAACGTGCCCAGCCAATATTTGTTGAGTCTCTTCCCCACCCTGTGCCCCTAGTGTAGTAATAAGGGTATAGATTTTCTTTACATTGCATATAAAAGTTTGAGAAACTATCTATTCTTTATAATAAAGAATGAAAACTCCAAAAGGCATCTGGGGTGAGGTAGAGGGTCTGCACAGAGTTTCTGAAGGAAGGAGACTGCCAAAGCTGTCATTGGATTCAGGCACTCAACAGATTGGAACACCGTGTGGAGATTTATGGTAGTGTGAAGGTGCTTTATTTGTTATGAATTACTCAGAGATTTTACTATATTTTAACCTGGGGGAGGAAACCCTCCTTTTTTGTCCTTTTGAAAACAAGTTACATTTCTTTCGATGTGGAAAGTATCAATGACCAATCCAATAGTTTTTCTTTAATTTATTTATTTTGGGAGACAAAGTCTTACTCTGTCTGTTGCCCAGGCTAGAGTGCAGTGGTGCAATGTGGACTCATCGCAACGTCTGCCTCCTGGGTTGAAGCGATTCTCCTGCCTCAGCCTCCCGAGTAGCCGGGACTACAGGCGTACACCACCACGCGCGGCTAATTTTTGTCCTTTTAGTAGAGATGGGGTTTCACCATGTTGGCCAGGCTGGTCTCGAGTACCTGACCTTAAGTGATCCACCCACCTCAGCCTCTCAAAGTGCTAGGATTACAGGCTGAGCCACCAAGCCCAGCTCACTTCATGGCATATTTCTAATACTTAAAAACTCACCTGACAAAAGAGATACTTTGTGGCCAGTCCCAGTGGCTCACGCCTGTAATCCCAGCACTTTGGGAAGCTGAGGCGGGTGGATAATTTGATGTCACGAGTTCAAGACCAGCCTGGCCAATATGGTGGAACGCTGTCTCTACTAAAAATACAAAAGTTAGCTGGGCGTGGTGGTGGGCACCTGTAATCCCAGCTACTCGGGAGGCTGAGGCAGGAGAATCACTTGAACCCCGGAGGTGGAAGCTGCAGTGAGCCGAAATCACAGCATTGCACTCCAGCCTGGGCATAAGAGCTTGACTCCAAAAAAACCCAAAAAACAAAAACAAACAAACAAAAAAAACCCCCAAAAGGTCAGGAGATAGCCGATTGTTATTCTGATTGGATAACTTAGGGGTGGTTTTGACAAAAGAAAAACAAAATGTTTCAGTCTTTTGCCTAAATAATAACTTTATGGGTTATCTTGGAATTCAAGGCTTTCCAAATATTTCTGGTTCTCATCATGGCTTATCTTAGAGTGCAAAGCTTTTAGCAATGTCAGCCTTTTCCAGACTATGGTACAGGATGATTAATCGATAAGGTGGGCAGGGCTAGACATGATAGTAGTTTTACAGACTAGAGTTTACACTAAATGTCCACAGGCTTCTGTAGGGCCACCAAGTAGAGTTGTGTGGACTGTACAGGTTGTGCACTGTGGGGAACATTCCCGTGTGAGACCCCTAAAAGGCGTGAGTCTCACTATACGGTGAGTTTGATCCCAAACACAGTTTCCTACTGGAGGCAGTCGAGCTATCCGGAAATATAGGAACTGAAAGATGAATGATCAGTTTCTAATATCAACCACAATATCGTTTGGGCCTAAAATTATGCGTTGCTGCTAGACCAAGTGACCCCCTACCAGCAATCAGTTCCTGCTTTTAACCTTTTTATGACTCTTTAAGAATAAGCCTTAAACCTTACCTGACTGCCTAATGGTTTAACTGTCGATATTTGCAAAGCAAAATGCCACCATAAGGGATGGCTTTGATTCCTGACTCAGAGATTCCTGAATGGGGAAGTTGAGTTGAGTCAGGAGTAGACAAAGGAGAATCCGATTAAAAGATATTCTGATGAGCAAAACCAGAAAACCTTTTCACATCTCAGTTCTAAAAAAAGGTCAAACCAGAGATACCTGCAGCCAGGAGGAATAATGTTTGGATGTAAACAAGCTTTGTGAATAATGTTTGGATGTAAACAAGCTTTGTGAATAATGTTTGGATGTAAACAAGCTTTGTGAATAATGTTTGGATGTAAACAAGCTTTGTGAATAATGTTTGGAAACAAACTTTGTGATTGTAGAAAATTTTGTTACTTTTTACAACCACTGATTGTGTATCTGACTTCTCTATTGTATAGGCCATGAGAGGCATACATTTACATTCCTCTTACTATGACGTAAACCAGAGCCAAGAAAGTGTATTTATTCCTGGCCTTTGAAAAATAAAATTTGCTGTTTAGGCACAGCCTATCAGCCCTCCAGACGCCTCGCTTTCTCTCTCTCTGTCTTTATTATTTTTCCAGGCGCACTCCCTCTTCCAGGTATTGGGACCCTCTTGCAGGTCGAGAGACCCCCGGGCAGATGTGCCTACCCGTCCTGGACGGTCCACGACAGTGCACTACACAACTTTAGATGTTATGTACACAGTGCCCTCTGGAGTTATAAAATGCAAAGTCTACTCAGCCATACCTGGAAGCCTAGAGGCCAGGCAGGTAACACAGACCAGTGAAACATATGGACCACTGAAAGGATTCCAGCAAATTTAAAAATAATGGTCAGAGCACTGTGGAGTTGTAATAAAACAAATTTGTAGACTATGGGTTTTTTTTTTTTTTTTTTTTTTTTTTTTTTTTTTTTTTTTAAGATGGGGTTTCACCAAGATGGCCAGGCTGCTCTTAAACTCTTGACCTCAGGTGATCCACCCACCTCGGCCTCCCAAAGTGCTAGGATTACAGGCATGCACCACCGCGCCTGGCAATTTGTAGACTATGTTCAGCCTTGGAGCTCAAGTTTGGGACCTCTGCTATATAAGGTAGAGGCAGTCAGTATTTTTGAGCAGGGTCATGATGCAAAGAGATATGTAAAATAGATACCATAGAGAAAAGAGACTACAATGAAATAAGTAAGTCAGAAAAGGACTTCAACAATCTGAGCTGAGGAAACAGGGGCCTGGCCCAGAGCCATGTGGACAGACATAGAAAGAGAAGAATTAATAGAATTTAGTGATCAGATTCAGGTTTGATTCCGAATCAAATCAATTTAGACTTGATTTCTCATAAGAAAAAAAAAAAGAAGGAGAGACCAGAGTAATGCAAGGTTTTGAACTTGGGTCCTTAGGAAAATACCTAGAAGAAAAATATTGACCTTAGAAATAATTTCAGATTAAAAAATAATCTTTTTAGAATATGATAGTAAAAATCATGTTTTGAACGCTTATGTAATGCTGGCCGGGCATGGTGGCTCAAGCACTTTGGGAGGCCGAGGCAGATGGATCACTTGAGGTCAAGAGTTCGAGACCAGCCTGATCAATATGGTAAAACTCTATCTCTACTAAAAATACAAAAATTAGCTGGGATTGGTGGCAGGCACCTGTAATTCCAGCTACTCAGGAGGCTGAGGCAGGAGAATCACTTGAACCTGGGAGGCAGAGGCTGCAATGAGCAGAGACTGCACCACTGCACTCCAGCCTGGGCGACGGAGTGAGACACCATCTCAAGAAAAAAAAAAGAAAGAAAAAGAAAAAAAAAGATGTAATGATATGGTATGGTACTGTTCATAAATAAAAAATATATGGGAAAAAAAGCAGATAAGAGGAAGACAAAAATTGGAAAAAAAAACTATGCAAAAATATTAACAAAATGTTATCTATGAGCAATGTGATTATAAGTTACAATAATTTTGTTCTTTATACTTGTACTATGTTTCCAAAATTTCTACAATGAATGTGTTATATTTAAAAATAGAAAAAAATACTTTGAAAGATCCTAGAGGCTTGACTTTTACATAAGCCATAAATTCAACCTGCATTATTTTGTTGTTGTGGTAACCATTTGCGATAGTAACTGCTAACAGACTTGGCTTTTTGGTGCTAGAGAAATTGGTCCTTTTCTTGTGTACTAGATAGAAAGCCCTTGTAATCTCAAGGAGATAAAGATTTAATGTTGCCTAGTGATATATATTTGTTTAGGGATATGTTTTTCTTCAAAAACTAACTTCAATTGTTTTAATGATTTTCAGAAAAGATTTTTTTTGTTTGTTTTTTGCTTTTTAAGAATTAGCTATAGCCCTTCCCAAGTTGTGTTCATAGCTTAAAGCCTACCTGAGCTTTTTCCAAGAACATAAAGATTCAAGCAAAAAGGGATGATAACAGTATTATTCTGTTTAAGGCTGGGTGTGTTGGCTTACACCTGTAATCTCAGCAGTTTGAGAGGCCGAGGTGGGTGGATCATCTGAGATCAGAGACCAGCCAGGCCAACATGGTAAAACCCCATCTCTACTAAAATATAAAAATTAGCTGGGTGTGGTGGCACATGTAATCCCAGCTACTCAG